CCTCTGCTGACAGCAGGAGCCCGCTCCCCTCCCGGGGATGCATCTTAGGGCCAGCAGCGCCCTGCTGCCTCCCTGTGCTGGCTCCTATCTCCTCTCTCTCCAGCATCGTTCTGATACTGTCAGCCAGCAGCTGACCCCTCTCCTCTCTCCCAAGGGTGCACCATCTGCCTGGGCCAGGCCACCTTCCTCCGCTTCAACCACCCTGCTGAGGCCAAGTGGATGAAGAGCATGATACCGGCGGGAGGCAGGAGCCCAGCGGCTTTCTATGGGCTGCCAGCAAGTAGGTGACCCCCTTTGTCCCAGGCAGGGTGAGGCAGATGCTGAGGTGCTCCCTGACCTGCACCATAAGCCTTCCTGGCATGTGATGCCCTCCCAGCCCTGTCCTGCTGGACTCCCAGCCCTCCCACTTAGGAGTGGGGCTCATACCTGGCTGCAGATGTGCCGTCCATCATCTCAGCATGCTACAGCAGCTGCGGTGATGTTTGTTAATGATTAATATAATTTCAAAGAGCGCGGCTGTGGGGGCAGTGAGGCAAAGCTCTTGCTTCTGCCAAGCCTGGCCATGGCAGAGCCATCACCCATCGGATCCCCCCCGGCTGCCTGTGTTTACATGCCAGGGCGGGTGTGCCGGGGCTGCGAAGGCCGTTTCCCTGACTGCTGTCCTTCATTTCACGAGCTGCTTATCTTGCTGTGTCTGCCTGTCCGTGGGGTGATGGGTTGAGTGCCAGAGCTGTGCCTGGTTCCTGGGGATGTCTAAATTCCAGGCAGTGATCCCTGGGCTGTTAGCCCTTCTGCCTGCCCTGACCAGCACACCCTGGCACAGGGAGAGGAGCTTGGCAGCCTCTCCATGCCACGTGTGTGTCAGGAAGGCAGCACGGCCACAGCTGGAGGATGGGAGGAGGGATGCGGGGAAGTGCTGAGGCCGAGGAGCATCATACAAGTGCAAAGCATCCTGCGACTGCACAGAATCTGGTGCGGGCCCTGCGTGGTCCCTCTGCCATGCGGGACTGGGCGGGATCACACAGATAGGGCTGTGGCACAGCTCTCCAGGCGTGGAGGCACTGCCAACTGCTACGGGGGAGCTGCTGGGTGCCAGGGGGTGACGCAGCCTGGGTGGCACGCTGTCCTGGCTGGGCTCCCCGCCTGCTGTGATTCGCTCGTCCCCTGAGTGACAGGCACATCGGTGCTGCCCAGGGAGGACAGGGCAGCCCAGGCGGGGGCACCCTGGCCAGGGGCGCAGGGCGGCTGCAGGTGACGTGGCAGTGGGTCCGGACACGCTGCAGGTCAGCAACTTTTGGCTGTTGCATCTATGACCCCTTGCTGGGGAGCTGGAATGTGCCAGGGGCAAGTGGTGGGTCCCAGTGGCTGGCGCAGGCAGCTGCTCTCCGGGAACTGGGGCCGGGAGCTGCGACACAAGGATGTCAGAGTGGGCGGCTGGGCTGTGCTCTCAGGTTTCTGTCTCCTGGGTGACGGGGCCAGCGGGCTTCCAGCCTCCTCCCTAGCCCTGGCTCCCCAGTCTAAGTGAGAGAGGGTGGCAGTGGGGGTTCAGGCAGCTTGAGGTGCAGAGAAGAGGGGCTGTGACCCAGCTCTGGCTCTGTAAGGCTGCATGGAGGAACAATGCCAGGTTGCCTTGGGGAACCCCAGCCCAGGCAGGGGCCATGGGGGGGTCACACCACACTGACTAGCTGCTCTTATGTCTCCCTGCAGAGCCTGAGGCCCTAGTGAACGGTGGCCACCAGCCATCAGAGCGTGGGTGTCCCAGCCATAGCTCCCTCGTCAGCTCAATTGAGAAGGACCTGCAGGACATCATGGACTCACTGGTGCTGGAGGAGCCGGCTATCACCTTCTGAGCACAGAAGCCGCCGGCCTGTGGCCGGTCCCCTCTCTCCCCTGTGGTGAATGGGGGTGGACGCTGCCTCCTGTCCCCCCTACCCAGCCCCGGGGCTGCCTCGGGAGGCTCCAGCTACGAGAACTTCTCTCCACTCTCCTCCCCGGCCAGCAGCAGCAGCTACACCAGCCCCTCGCTGAGCAGCCAGGAGCAGGGGCCACCTGTGCCCCCCCTTGTCCCACTCCGCTCCTCCAGCTACAACCACACTGTGCAGCCACCCACCCTGCCCAGTGGGAGTCCTAGTGAGCCTTGGCCGGTTGAGAGGCTCGGTGACCATAGGGCAGGCAGCCCCCGGCTGACACCCAGGGTGGCACCGCGGCCACGGGCGGCCCTACAGGAGCGGCCCCCGAGCCCCTTCCGTGAGCCGCGGGACTCCCTGGTGCCCAGCCGACAGGCTGCCAGCAGGGCAGTCCCAGAGGCCCGACTGCAGCCCCCGGAGAGCCCGCGGGTGGCCCGGAGGAACATGGAGAGCATGCGGGAGTTGCCCCCCCTGAGCCCCTCCTTGTCACGCCGGGCTGCCAGTCCCCGGGCAGCTCCTGACACCCCCTCCCCACAGCCCCGGCTGGGCAGGGAGGTGCCTGGCAGTCCCCGTGCAAGGCGCAAGGGCTCGGAAGAGTCGAGAGGTGCTGGGAGCCCCTCGCCCCCACTGCTGGCAGAGACCTCCACACGCCGCCCCAGCTTTGGCACTTGCCTGAGCCCAACATATGGGCTGAGCTCACCGGCCATGCCCTCGCCCCATCAGAGCCCCCGTGCCCCCAGGAAGCCTTTGGGGGACCCACGGCTGCCAGCGGGGCCACGAGAGCGCAAGAACAGCATCACTGAGATCAGCGACAATGAGGATGATGCTGCTGGACGTACCACCGGCGTCAAGCGGCAGGAGCGGGTTCGGGAGCAGGAGATGGAGCGCCTGGTGAGCCTTGGGGTTGGTTGGGGGGGACACATTTGAGCATGGGACACCCTCTTTGCAAACACCTTCTGTTATTTGCTACTTTAAAACCCGGCCCTTGCCTCTCAGGGATTTGCTGCAGCTGCCAGGCTGCCGGCTTATCTGGGGGGATTATGGCCAGGAATGGCCATGGGTGCTCAGCAGCTCTCTGGGAGTACAAAGCCCCCAACTTGCAGCAGCCCAGGGAAGTTGGTGGGGTCGGCATGGCTCTGGGGCTGCCATCAAAAGCCAGTGGTGCCCCTGGCTGTGCAAAACTATCCACGTCTCATCCATCCCTGCCAGGGCCATTCTGCTGGCGGCAGTGCCATGGCTCTTGTGGGCATTGCATCTATATTTAGGGCCGATGGAGTTTTTATGGAGCTGGCAGCTGCCTGGGTGGGGTTTGCCTGTGTCTCTGCTGGTCCTGGAGGCCGAGCCGCCAGGGCCCTGTTTGCTCAGCCCTGACTCACGCCCAGCGTGGGTAGCCTGAGTCACCGCCTGGAAATAGCGGAGGCGTTCAGCGGCCAGTGCTGCTGCCTGTAATTAGTCTGTCTCCAGCTCCTGGCACATCGCGTGCCTGGCTCTTGCGGGGGGTTTGGTGCAGCTGCATTGTGCTTTGTGATGTCCCCAGCCCATCCCAGCGGGCAGCAGGGCAAGCAGTGAGCCCATATCCTGGTGTCCACTATCAGCACGGGGTCCCACGGGCTCTGGCCATGACACGTGCTGGGTCGGGTGCCATGCTAACGGTTCTTCCCCACAGGAGCGGCAGCGCCTGGAGACCATCCTGAACCTCTGTGCTGAGTACACCAAGACGGACAGCACTGAGCCGGGTGACGTGCCCCGGCTCCTGGCTGGTGATGCGGATCCTGGCCGGCGGGTGCCCAGGGGTGCTGTGGCTCTGGGCCGTGCGGCCGAGGAGCTACGGCAGAGGGAGAGCCTGGAGAAATCAGATGAGGAGAACTTGAAGGAGGAGTGCAGTAGCACCGAGAGCACCCACCACGAGGTAAGGGGACAGCTGTGCCATGCTGTGCTGTGCCATGCTGCACCGTGCCATGCCAACCAGCCCTCTCCACAGCACGAGGAGTTGACAGGCCCCCGGGCCAAAGAGGCGCAGCGGCTGGAGGAGGAGCGTGCCAGTGTCCTCGGCCACCTGGACCAGCTGAAGGGCCGTGTCAAGGAGCTGGAGCAGCAGCTGCAGGAGACATCACGAGAGGTGAGGAGTCAGTGGACGCTGCCAGGTCCCCCGCTGCTTGCTGCCCTCACCAGTCAGTGCTGAATTCCACGGGCATGAGCCAGATCCAGCTGGGGCAGCCATCCTGATGTGGCTGTGCCTGTCCAGGCAGAGATGGAGCGGGCGCTGCTGCAGGGTGAGCGGGAGTCAGAGGCGGCGCGGCTGCGGCAGGAGCAGGAAGCAGTGCAGCAGCTACAGGAGAAGCTCTCCAGCCTGGATGCCAGCATCCGCAAGGAGCGGGACAAGGTGAGCCTCACTGCAGGTTTGCACTGTCACCATCTGTGCCTTACCCTCCCTGGCACTTGCAGCCAGTGCCATGATGCCCCGTGCTGCAGTGTTCCCCTGCAGACACGTTCTCCAGACCCTGGGCTCCACAGAGGCTTTGGGGAGCAGCCCCTCTGGTTTGTGTTGTGGGGAGATCTGTCTGTCTGTCTGTCTGCCTGGGACAACAGCCTGTCCAACAGCCCTGCCAGAGGAGAACTGAGCTGATGCTAGGGGAGCATTTCAACTGCTGCCTGTCGCGCTGGCAGGGTCTGGCAGGGAGACTGTTGTGTGGGGCTTTCCAGGTGGCTGCTGCCTATGGTGGGCAGTGCTGAAGTGGGGGTCTTGGTGTTGCCCATTCCCTGCCCTTGCTGGGGAACTGCATCTTGTGGCAAGTCACCTCACTCTGCTGCATTTGCACAAGTGAAGGCAGCTGCTGCTGTAGCCTTCAGCTCGCTGGAGGTGGCTGGGAAATCACTGCAGGTGTTTTAACTCATCTCAGTGGCTGAGGAAGACGTCCTGGCCCCCTTTCCCTGGAGTCATCTGTGGTGCAGTTATAGCCTGAAGGCACGCATGCTGCTGCGTGTACCACATGCTTGTCCCAGCTGCTGGTTGCTGGCCATCCCACCGCCTTGCAGGCAGTGTGGTATGACCTTGGGTAAGCTGCTCTGGAGCAGGAGAGCTGCTGGAATCCAGCTCCCCGCTGCCTGAGGCCAGTGGTCCTGTGCAGTCTGTGCCTGGGTCCCACTGGCAGCTCTGTGCCACCGTGATGTGGCACCAGTGTCCCTGGGGCCCTGGCTGGCCCCATGGCTGTAGGTACTGGGGCTGTCAGGGTGTCTGTGGCCAGGCAGAGCAGCCATCAGCACCTGCCAGCAGTGTTTGGGGGTTTTATTCTGGTTTTGGTCTTCCAGTGCTTTGTAGGCATCATCTGTAGCCAGGGACAGCCTTGTGCAGAGCCAGGAGAAGAGCACAGGGAAATGCCCATCCCAACCTCTCTGCTGACCTGAGTGCCCGCTTTCCTAACCCGCCTGCACTACTCGCACTAACAGTGCCTGCTCCGAACTCTACCATCATCTCTGGCATCTCTGTATGCCCAGGAGCCCCCAGGCACCCCTTTTGATGCATCCCCCATCTCCATGTGGAGCATTGTTCCTTGCAGCAAGCGTTTCCCGATGCCAAGCCCCATGGTGCTGCAGGAGGTGGTGCCCCTACACCAGCCCTGTGTTGCTGACCCCATTTTACTGCTTCTGTGGCAGTGGGAGGGAGGGTTGGGGTCAATTCCCCCTCATTCCAGGCCCAGGAGCAAGTGTTTGCTCTACCACTGACTTGACATAGCCTGACCATCACTGGCAGCATGGCTGGACCTCATCCTCCTGTTTTCACTGCTGCCCCGTGGGCAACTCTCTCCTGCTGATGGATGAGGGTGGTCCATGTGCTCAGGCTGCATTCAGGACCTTTAGTGCTTTAACTGGCAGCATTCCAATGGTGAGCAGCACTTAACAAAGCCAGTTAGTGGTTGTTCAGAGGGTGCATGTGGTGCAGCTGTGTGCAGGATCAGGATGACTTTATCCATGCTATCAGCATTGATCTTTTTGCTGCCTGTAAGTTTGTTTTTGGAAACACAGGGCTGAGGTTGAGGGCTGGCTGTAACTCCTCTAACACCCCGTGGACCCAGCTCCTACGTCTGTTGCTCTCTCTTGCTATGCTCCCTCTCCCTGCCCCACTGTAGCTGCCGTGATGCTCCTCCTCACAACCCCCCTCTCTCTCCTGCTCTAACTCACAGCTTCTGCATGGCGCCCATTTGAGAAGTGTATTTTCTCTCTTCTTTCTCTTTTTTTTTCCTTTTTCTTTTCCTTTCTTTTTTTTTTTTTTTTGTTTTGTCTTGTTCTCCCCTGATTCAGGAAAGGGCAAAGATTGATGCTGAAAGGAAGGAGCTAGAGCAACTCCGGGTGCTTTACCATGAGTCGAAGAGCCACCTTGATAAGTGCCCCGAGTCAATGCGGGAACAGTTGCGGGAGCAGATGCGAAGGGTCAGTGTCTCCCCCCACCCCTCCCGGACCATGGCCCACCTCCCTCCGCTCCAGCTTAGGCCAGCTCTTCCCTGCCAGCCGGGGCTGCACTGGGAGCGTCACACCCGGGCTGGAGGCAGCTGGCACCGGGCACCACCGTCCTGGTAAGCTTGCTGCTCGCCCGGGCCCGCGGCGCAGGGCTGGCTCAGCAGAGCTCCTCAGGACCAGGCAGGGCACGAGCACAGACCCTGCCCTGCAAAGGAGGGCAGGCTGGGGAGCCTTGGGGACCTCCGCATCCTCGTCTGGCTGCCTCCCGCTATTTCCTGAGAGTGTTTGTTTACACGGCACCGTCGGTTTATGTTACTGCTAGTCCACAGCATTTTTTCCCGTTATCTGGTATTTTCCAGAAGCGGTTGACTTTCCCCAGCCCATGGCTGGTGCCTGCCCAGATAAACTCCCATTGCCACAGCCTGTTCTGGGCAGGCATCCCCATGCTTGTTGTGGGTCGGGTGTGGCGGGCAGGGGTGGCGATGGAGCGGTCCTGGTGTATGGGAGCCCTCAGTAGCCACCACGCCAGCGCTGTGCCATGAGAGCACCAGCTGCCTGGCTCCTGGAGCAGGGTGAAACGTGTCCCCAAAGGGTGCACGGTGCAATGGCTGCCAGGGTGGCACAGGCAGGCCCTGAGCTGAGTGCTGCCATGTGCTGTTGATGCGTGAAGGCTGGGAGGACACACAGGAGTTTGTCCAGCACAGTGCTTGTCTGTGGGGGCTCTGTTGCCCGCTGGCTCGGTGATGCAGGGCTGCATGTTGGTGGTTACGCTGGCACGTGGTGTTTTGCTGCCTGTCAGGGCATGGCTCCAATCCAGATGCGGTTCAGCAGGGGCAGTTGGTCTCCAAGGGCTGGGTGAAGCCCCTGCCTCTGGTGAGCTCCTCATCTCATGGGGGTAATTGCTCTGTCCTGGCCAGTTCTGGGTTTCTCTGTTGCCATCTCCTGTGGCAGACGCTCCTGGCAATGTCTCCCACGTTTCTGGTGCCCTGCAGAAGGCAAAGCTGCCTGCCTGCCCACACCAGGCACAGTGGACAGGCTTGGCCATGAGCTCTTGTTCCTGGCCAGCACCAGCAGGATGTGGGGACTTGCAGGAGCTTTTGCTGTGGGATGCTTGCCTGCAGGATGAGGAGCTGCCCATCCAGAGGGACTGATCTGCTGTGCCCTTGTGTGTCTAAAGGAGGCAGAGGCACTGGAGACAGAGGCCAAGCTGTTTGAGGACCTGGAGTTCCAGCAGCTGGAGCGTGAGAGCCGCCTCGAAGAGGAGCGTGAGGCACGAGGCAAGCAGCTCCTGCAGAGCCGGGCCGAGTGCAACCGCAGCATCGCCCGCAGGAAGGTAGGGGCAGAGGGGGCAGTGGGTCTGTCACAGCCAGGCTGTGTCCCATGGCTCGCTGGCAGCCAGCTCATCCCTGCTGCCTGCTCCCCAGGAGCGGGTGGCTGCCCTGGATGCCCAAGCTGCCCAGATTCGGCTGCAGAGTGCCCAGGAGGCCGAGCGCCTGACCAGGGAGCGGAGCAGTGTCCTGCAGCTCCTGCAGAAGGTAATGCCAGGATCAGGGGCCTGACAGGGGCTCCCTGACCCTGGGGGTTGCTCAAGGCAGGGGACAAGATTGCGCCAGCTCTTGTCAGAGTGCTGGCAGGAAGGGTGAGCTTGGGAGGGGACCAGCCATGGGGTGCTCATAACCATCAGCAGCTGTCTCTGCTCTCACTGTCACCTTGTGTGCAGGAGAATGAGAAGCTCATGTCTCTGGAGAGGCGATACCAGCTCGTCACAGGTGGCAGGAGCTTCCCCAAAATGTCCTCGGCTCTCAGAGAAGTAAGTGGGTAGAGGGGGCTATGGTGCCTAGGGCTGCTCTCCTGAGCTGCTGTTGCCAGTGGAGATGAGCCTTGTGCACCACAAGTTCTGCTCTGCAATGGCTCCTATGCTCCCAAGCACCCTCTGGCCAGAGCCAGGTGCTCCCAGCCACTCAGTCTTTCCATGGGCTGCAGAGGTTGGGAGGGAAGGAGGGAAATGCAACAGGGCAACATCTGGGACAGCACTGCTTCAGGTCCCACCCTTGCTGGAGAGCAAATGCGGGGGTGTTTTGGTGCTAGTACAGGGGACTTTTAGGTGGGAGTGAGTCACTCTGTTGTCCTGCTCGTGGCTTTGAACGGGGAGCCAGAACCATGATGCCCTTGGGAGCTGTGGTGCTGCCAGACCTGCTGCTGGGAAGAGGGGCGGGATGGCAGAGTCCCCTTGTGCCTGCCTGCAGTGGGACTCCTGCTGCTGCCACCTTGCTGCCTGTGCCCACCTTGCCTACGTGATCTTTACCCTCCAACAGGAGACCCTCTCAGAGCCTTATGAGCTATTGGAGGGAGCTAAGTCCTTGAGCCCCCTGCCAGCAGCAGCTGCCTCCTTAGCTTCTCCTGCCACCCGCTCCTACCCCAAGGCACAAGAGGTAACTAACTAGCAGGACTAACTGCATGTGCTTGCTCGCTTGCCCCTCCTTGGCAGAGACCCCTTTCGTGGACTAACGTCACCCCCAGGCAGCAGGGCAGCCCTGCAGCAGCATGGCTGGGGCATTTCTCATTTAGCTCTCTGGCACCTCTGCTCATTAACACTCAGTCCCTGATTCCAGGTGCTCTCCTGAGCCCAACAGGCATCCCAGCTCCCGCTGCTGCCCTCTGTTTTAACCCCGATGTGGTGCTGTGGGGCGCAGGCATTCCTGTGCTTCCCCTTGCCCACCACTTACCCTCTGGCTGGGCACCTCCTGGCAGCATCCTGTAGGGTCCTGCTAGCCTGGTTTCCCTAAAATAAGAGCAAGTCACAAGCTTTAGCATGCTTGGTTCAGAAAGGATGTGGAAGTGGATTTTAAGCTGCCTCAGCGCAGCTTGAGGTGCCTCAGTACTGTGGGGAGGGCTTGTGGCCAGGGGCCCTGGGGGACCCTGAGGTCTCTCCTCAGCAGGCGCTCAGCAGAGCTGTGCTGAAGGCAGGAGGGAGGCGGGTGCCAGCACACCCAGCCCAGCTTGGGCACCACACTCCCCACACAGTGCTGTGCACTGGGGCTGCCGTGAGCAGTAGGGCAGGGCAGGGCTGGGCAGGCAGTCTTGGGTCATGTGTGCACAGGGAGGTTTGCTCCCACTTTGCAGTCAGTGCCATAATGCCAGCACATGGGTCTAATTCTCCTCCTTCTCCCTCACTGTGGATTTCTAGGAGTACATGAGGCTGTCTGACGTTTTCAGGTTCTGCAGCAATGCTCACGGCCCCAGCCTGGACACTAAAGCTTCTGCTGCTGCCCCTGCTGCTGCTCAGCGCTCTTTCTTGCTTGCTGTACCTCCAGCAGCCGACGAGGTACCCGCCCTAGAGCATGCTCGGGTTTGCTCCCTTGGGTTGCCCGCTGCATCCCGGGTCAGGGGACTTGTCTGGCTGCAGCTGAGGGGGGAGCAGAGGCTCAAGCTGCCTGGTCTCCTTGCCAGGGTGCATTTCTTACCTGCTCTGGATGTGTTGGCAGCAGGGCTGGGGAGCAGAGCAGGTGCCCAGCAGCGTGGGAGGGTGGCCCTTTGACTGTTCGATCCAGTCCTGGCCGCTGGTCCCAAGCAAGGAGGATGCAAAGCAGGCAGGGACCTGACCTGGTGCCCAGCACCAGGGTAGCAGCAGTACCAACTGTTCTTCCTCCTGGGACATGGCACCCTCCTTTGGGAGGCTGGAGCTGCCTGTTCATTCCCCTGTGCCTGCTTGCCCTTGCTCTTCTCCTGGTTTAATATGCTTCTCTTTGCCCAGTACGTGACCGTTGAGCAACTCTCAGGCATCTTGGGCAGCCTCCACACCCCTGCTGCTTCCCTGCTGGGCTGCACCCCTCCGGCCCCTTCATCCTCAGCCTGCACTCCTCCTCCTCTTTCATCTCTCTCTTCTCCCTTCATCTCTGCAGAGGTTTGTGCCCTGTTTCCCTCTCTTGGGACCCTTGTCCTCTCCCTGGGAGGTGCTGGGGATGCATGGGAAGGAGAGAACTGCAGATGAAGCTGAGCAGCAGCTCAGGCTCTTGACAGCCTACGCACCCCTCATTGTCCTGTCTGCTGCTTCACTGCCCATGGGGCAGGTCAGGGGGGTCTTTTTGCTTGATCAGCTCTCTTGAGCAGCAAAGGGCTCCTACAGCTGCTGGGACTTAGCCAGGGGGTGCATGGGATCCCTGGGGGTCTGCACGTCAAATTCTGGGGGAGTGGTGCAGGCACAGGCAGGGATGCTACCTCTTCTCTGTGCATCTGTCCCTCTTGCTGCATTTGTCCTTCATCCTTTCTCACATGGCCTCTCTCTCCAGATGGAGCAGCAGCTGCCAGGAGGCCCCATGTGCCTCCCGGCTCTTGATTTAGAGAAATGGTACCAGGAGGTCATGGCTGGCTTTGAGACCTCCTCTTGCCCTGTCTCTCCTCCTTCTTCCCCTCCTCCACTTCCAGCTAAAGCTCACTCCTCTCACAAGGCTCTCCAGGTAATCCTGGCTCCCTGCTGCCAAGGCTCAGGCTTCGGGGCTGCTGGCCATGGTGGGAGTGGGGCAGTGTGGGGATGTTCCTGTGGACCCTGCACCCTGAGTGCTGTCAGGCTCCTGCTTGCTGCCGTGGGCAGGGGCAGGCAGCCCCTGCTTCTTATTGCCTGCAGCCCTGCCAGAATGGCACTGACATGGGGCAGGAAGGGATGCTCAGCCCTGTTTGCAGATGAGCCATCTGTCCAGGGGGGCTTTTGCAGTCCCCCATGTCCCTCTCACCTCCATGTCTCTGTGCCCAGGTCTATCGTGCAAAAACAGAGGGTGACGCTGGTGTCCCCACCCCTCGGATGAAGAGTGGGACCCCCTCGTCTTCGCAGCTCAACCTCTCTGTGCTGGGGCGCAGCCCCTCGCCCAAGGTACAGCTGCCAGGGGGACCCGGGCACCCTGGCCATGGGTCACACGCTCCCGGTGCCAGGCCCCGTCCCCATCCTTGCAGCTGATCCCCTGCTGTCCTGCCCAGGGCCCCCCAAGCCCAGCGGGCAGCCTGCCCCGCAACCTGGCGGCCACACTGCAGGACATCGAGACCAAGCGCCAGTTGGCCCTGCAGCAGAAGGGTGAGCTCTGGCTTTGCGTCCTGGCTCTGAGGGGTGGTGGGACTTTGGGAGATGCTGCGCCCGCTGCGACTTGGGCAATGGAGAAGGGAGCCCGGCCGAGGGTGGGAGCAACAGCACTCCGGAGGGATGCAGTGCCTCTCTCACAGTCTCTTGCTTTTTCCCCCCTCTCTTCCTCCTGACCCCTCCGCCCGACGGCGTGTCTCCAGCCAAGCTGCTCCCAGCAGAGCCCTTGCAGCCAGGTGATCTACCAGGTAGAGATGTGGAGCAACTTGGACTGCCTGGAGCAGCCCAGAGGCAGCAGCATGGCTGTTTGCTGGCACCTTCTGCCATGCATAAGAGGGGCATGATTAGCCCAGGACCCCAGATGCCTCTCAGCATCTGCTTAGGGACAACCCTGTGCATCCATAACCCGCTAATGCTTTGCCCAGCCTGCTCCTGCCAGCCTGGTGCATGTGCCCCCTTGGCTGTCCGGGCCCCCTCCTCCTGCCTGGATAGATTGCTGTGCTTGCCAGAGAGTTGTGACAGCAGCTCCCACCTCTGCTGCTACCATCCCTACCTGGCTCCAGCCTGTGGTGTCTTCTGCCTGTGCCACCCCCTCACTCACCACAGTGCGGTTCTGAGTGTGGCACATTTAACTCAACATCATGATCCTTCCTCCCATGGCACAGGTCAGCAGGTGATCGAGGAGCAGAAGCGGCGTCTTGCGGAGCTGAAGCAGAAAGCGGCTGCCGAGGCACAGTCCCAGTGGGAAGCCCTGCATGGGCAGCCCCCCTTCCCCGCTGCTTTCCCCCGGCTCGTGCATCACTCCATTCTCCACCACCACCGTCCCCATGGTGCTGGGCCCCGGGCCGAGGAGCTGGACCATGCATATGACACCCTTAGCCTGGAGAGCTCAGACAGCATGGAGACCAGCATCTCCACCGGCAACAACTCTGCCTGCTCACCTGACAACATCTCCAGGTAACCCTGGGGCCAGCTCCTGCAGCTGGGGGACAGCCTGCTCTGGTGGTGCGCTGCTGGCTCGAGGTCTTTCCTGCTGCAGCAGTACCTGCATCTGTCTTATAGTGCCAGCGGGATGGAGACAGGGAAGATTGAGGAGATGGAGAAGATGCTGAAGGAGGCACATGCTGAGAAGTCACGGCTGATGGAGTCCCGGGTGAGTGGGACCACACCAGCGCTGCAGCTGGATGGGGAGCAGGTCCCCAGTCCTTGGGGCTGAGCTCCTGTGTGTGTGCCAGCAGGAGCGGGAGATGGAGCTGCGCCGGCAGGCGCTGGAGGATGAGCGCCGGCGCCGGGAGCAGCTGGAACGCCGGCTGCAGGATGAGACCGCACGGCGGCAGAAGCTGGTGGAGAAGGAGGTCAAGCTGCGGGAGAAGCACTTCTCACAGGTGCGAGGCAGGCTGCCACCCTCCAGCAGCCTGGCCAGGGAGGAATACCTGGCTCCCTACTGATGTCCCAGGGTCCCAGTGGGGGGACATGGCTCTCCTTGCCACTGGTGGGCTTTGCAGGGCTGTGTTGCTTTTCCAGGCTCGTCCCCTGACGCGGTACCTCCCCATCCGCAAGGAGGACTTCAACCTGCGGCTGCACATTGAGTCCTCGGGCCACAGCGTGGACACCTGCTACCACGTCATCCTGACTGAGAAGATGTGCAAGGGCTACCTGGTCAAGATGGGGGGCAAGATCAAGTCTTGGAAGAAGCGCTGGTTTGTCTTTGACCGCATGAAGCGCACCCTCTCCTACTACATGGGTGAGTCCCTGTGCTGCCCAACACCCCATCCCCGTGCCATCACCCACAATCCAAAACACTTCTCTCTCTCTCTCTCGGGCAGATAAACACGAGACAAAGTTGAAGGGTGTCATCTACTTCCAAGCCATTGAAGAGGTTTACTATGACCACCTCCGCAGTGCTGCAAAGGTGGGAGCCGAGCACTGCTCTGGTGTCTGCTGGGAGCATCCCCATTCTCCCACGTTGCCCTCTGACAAGAGTGCAAGAAGCAGCAGGGCAGCTCCTGCTGGATGCTCATGGAGTGGTCCATGGCCTTTGATGGAGCCAGCTCCTTAGGGTGCCAAGGGCAAGGCCCCAGTGCTGGGCTTTGGAGGAGGGGCTTAGGTGGGAATGCTGTTGCTCAGAGGGGGCCAGAGCACTGATCCTGTCCTCCTCCCTTCCAGAGCCCCAACCCTGCACTCACCTTCTGTGTCAAGACCCATGACCGTCTCTACTACATGGTGGCACCCTCGGCCGAAGCCATGCGCATCTGGATGGACGTCATTGTCACCGGGGCAGAGGGTTACACCCAGTTCATGAACTGAGGGGTGGTGCTGTGCACCCCAGATCCACCACTTGGACAGACTCCTGAGGATCCCAAGCAGTGAGGAGCTTCTGCGGGAGCCACAGTCCCTGCTGCACCCTGTGCCAAGGGCTGTGCACACCATAGCAGTGGAGCTACACTGGGCCCATGCTGGGTGGCACTGAGCATGGCCTGCTCAGCCAAGGAAATAAGATTTTTTATGTTGACTTTTTAAAAACAAAATTTATTTGAAAAAGTGCTGAAATGTAAGAAGCTGCCAAAGAGCTGCCAGGGCCTGAGCTTTCTGCCTTGGGGAGGTGCTGGATTTGAGGCCGACACTTAACCACACTCAACACTGTTGCCACAGTGTTCCAGGGAGGGGTGGTGAGGCCCCAGCTGGACAGGACCCCCTGCTGTGGTAGACCCAGACCCCTCTTTGTAAACCTTTTGTAACTCCGAATCGGTGTCCTGCCCGTGCCACGGCCGGACGGGGATTGTGGGGCTGCCCAGCCATAAAGCATTTCATGAACCAGGCTCAGCCCCTGTGTGTGGCCTCTGGTCTGGCCAGACCAGAGCCTCCCCTGGACGGGGGGGAAGGGGAACCT